GGCCTGCGGCGCCCCGGTGAGCGGCTGCGGGCGGGGGCTGGCCCTGCGCGTCGGCTGAGGTGCCTGCCAAGTACTCGCTGGTGGGCTTGCAGGCCAAAGTTCTCTTAAGTCCACAGAGTAAAAGAAAAGAAAACCCCGGAGAAAAAAAAAACAAAAAAACAAACCAACAAAAAACCAAACCCCCAAACTCACGTTTTTTCCCTTCTGAGTTAAATGCGAGCTGTATTTGTTCATCTATTTTGAACCGCTAAACAGTTTAGTTTGATGGAGTCTGTGCGAGTCTTAGAGCACCATGGCAGCTAAACGTGTAATCTCACCTAAGCGTTTTGTCAGTTTTTCTGTTGATGGTGCTGATGTTTGTCTTCATATGATCTATGTTCAAAGTCACTTTGATATTAATATTTTTTAAATCAACAAATGTGTCTTTCAGGATGCTTTAAAAATACGTGTTTTATGAAAATGGCAGTAAGTTTGAAATACATTTTTTAAGTAGTTTCTTACAGGGTACTACAAATTGTTTTCCCTTAAAATGGGCGACTTCTTTGAGGACTGTGATGACAGAAATGGTTTAATGTTTCACCTGTATATAACTTCAGCATTTAAAGCCACTGCTGGTTAGTACGAGACTAAGCTTTCATGTATGGGTTTCATGTAAAATACATTCAAGGTATCATAGGTTCAACAGTGACACAAGCTTGTAGAGGGCTGCAGTGATGAAACTATGATCACTTTTTAGGAATACCCAGTAAAATCCGGGATTTGGAAGTGCTAGTTGTTTTCTTCTCATCTCCTCGGTCTAGAATGGAATTTGCGGTTTGCGAGTGGTAGCAACGAGCATGTTACCTGAGTAGCCTAACAACAGGGAATAGCTGTATTTGCATTGTGTTTTCAGGACCGAAGCCAAAGAATCTGTCATCGCTGTGCAACCTCTACCTGTGTTTGAACTGTTAAAAACTGTCCGTGTGGTGGAAATCCCGGGGTGGTGCTTCCTAATACGCTGAAATAATCTGCCCTCGGGATTTTTGTTTCTGTTCCTACTGCCGATCCTTTCTGTAGTACGCTAACGACTGTGGCAAGTCATGTTCAAAACTTGTAATTAAAATGAGTGATTACTGATCATGAGTGAATCCTTTATTATTAAACTCTGATTTGCTTGGAACAAGTTCCAAAGGTATATGGAGTACACCTCTTAATTTTATAGGCCTTTTAAAGAAAGACGGAGGGAAGACCACGCTGTGGCAGAGTTACAGATATGGGAGTTTTCTTGTCTGTTGAACAAAGACGTCACTACTTCCAGTACATCGTTAGGAGGATGTATATGTGCAGATTAGAATCTTCAGGGGAACCGAGTAATATTTTGTGCCTTTTTAATAAGAGTGATCTGAGCTATTGCGCGTGGTTCCTACGGAGTCTATGAATCCAGTGGATCAGAAGTTACCACAAAATTAAATTAGCTAGCATAGGGTGGAAGCCTGCGTACCATCTTGAGACGTTTGGTTTCTGCACGTTTGCACTCAAAAGAAGCTCTATCTAATTCATGGTAATGACTGGCAGAGCAGATTACTGAATTTTGCAAACCAATGGAAAACTGAGCAGTTTTGGAAAAGAAAGAAAAGAGAGAACACATTAAGTGCACTTAATTCACTTATTTGCCTAGTATAATTACTTTAATTGTAATGTTTAATAATAATACTTTTATGGAAATCCTGTAGGAACCAAAATGTATCAAAGTTCATAGTACAGAACTCTAGCTCCTAAAAATGAAGAGGAACTCCTTTTATTGCACACCAGAAAACTTAAAAAAAAAAGAAAAGACAAATGTTGGTTAAGATAAAAGGTCTCTAAATATATTGTAGTAAAAAGAATGTTACAGGAAAGATTAGAATGCATGTGCTTCGTTTAGTGTCAGAATTTGTCTTGAAATACATACATGATTGGCAGACAAAAGTATCAGCTCAAGACAAACATTGCTGTTCATTCTAATCTTTAGTTGAAGGACTTTCCGCAGATTAGTTCATAGTGCTGTATATGAAGGATCAGTGCTGGGCATTGTGACTTAAATAGCTGCTCTTCCAAACACCCATTTTTTGATTGTCAAAAGCAGAAGGAACAGGGAACGGGGAAAAAAAAAACCCTAAGTGACTGAAATTAGGTGATTGTAGCACCGTTTTGTTGTAGATCTGTCTCTGTTGATTCAAAATATTGCAACAGGACTTGGTACAAGATGGAAAGAGTATGACATTTTAGGCATATGGAGTAATTTAAATGCTGCTAGAGGGGAGAATAGTTTTAACTCCTGTTTATTAATATTTCAAGAGAACGTGCCCTTTAAAGGGGCATCAACATAATGGGTTATGATAATGATTCACGTGTAGTGTTGTGCAGCTTATATCTGAGTCTTATTTTGGCTTTCTTTCCCTTGACTCCCAGGAAAGGTTGAATAGCAGTATGTTTTTTTGTTAATTTTAAATTGGGTGTGCAAACTAAGAAAATTGTATTTTACTATTTAAGGCTTATTAATATTCAAGGCTAAGTTGAACAATTACGTAGTGCATATGGCTGCCTGCTAATGGTCAGTAATATTCAGTATGAAGAATAGTGAGGAAGTAATAAAAAGCACCCATGTGGAACAGCTTAGTATTGAACTGATTTTCCTCTTTCTGGAAGTTTTATTGTTAGGCAGGTGAGCTTTTCAGAAAGTAGCCCTTTTGCTGGTATCTTACTGTTCTGTTGAAATAGCTGCGTGTGTGTTTATTTGGATCTGTGAGGAAACATCTGCTGTAAATGGGGCTGGAGCTGTAAGCCTCTTTTAACCAAGAAGCTTGAAGGAAGGTGGTGAGTGTTGGACTGTATCAGGAAAGGAGTTTCCAGGGCTACTGGGGTGGCTGAGATACCTGCTCAGGTGTTATCAGGCAGGTGAGAAGTAAACGGTGTGAAGGAACATGAATGGGGCGGGGGGAGACTTGGAGCTCTCATGTTTGGTTTTGTGCTTTTTTTTTTTTTTTTTTTTTTTTTAAATGAGGGTTTGAACTGGGAAGGGAAGTCTGGGAGAAGCCAGTACACTTGTGTACTAGTGAAAGAAATGCTTTTCCTTTGGGGAAGTTGAAATCTAGGTGGAAATTGTCTCGGCTGACTTCCCAGCATTTAGATGGAGCAGTACCTTGCCATACGGCAGATGTGAGAGATTAGATAGCTGTCCTTGGAGACCAGAGCAGAAAAGCTCTTTAGCGTTTATTTTCATTACTCTCTGGCATGGTTTAATGTTTCTCATGCTTTTGGGGGCTTTAATACTTCCCACGGAGATTATTGTACAGTAATCAAACAGATATTCCTGGAAAACTTTCCTATGGACATCCTCAAATGATTTGTTTCATTTCAGTACTTCCTCCCCATTCCCTTGAATTTCCTAAGGAGAGTCTCTCCTTTTTCCGAGTGTGCTTGCTGAAGGTGTTTACTGTGTGAGGAATCAGGAGGGGCCCATTGCTGTCATCCAGAAGAGACGGGCTGGTGAGCAGGTGCCGCCTCTTTGCTGGAAATTGTTTTACTTTAGATGAGATTGCCTGCTTTGTTTTCCTCACTTTATTTTTCTCTTCAGCTTTTCTAAATGCATTATTATTATTTTTCCTTGATTGTTATAATTCTGCCTCTTCAAGGCCTTACTATCATTAAAGTTGGATGTAGACATTATTTGCCACTGAAATTCCCATGACTCTTGTCTGCTTCTTGGTTTCTTTGGGAACCATAGCTCCGGGTGGGCTGTTCATCAGGCCACCGGGTGAGTTATGAGGAAACCAGGCAGGATCCTGTTGGGAGCCTCGTTGGTTCTCACTGGGATCCTGCCAGGTTTTCACAGACAGTTGATTTAAAGCAAAATAGATCACCATTAACAGCTGGGACAATTGATGTGGCAAATTGTGCCTGGACAGTTCTTGTGACGTTGGCAGTAGTTAGGAGTGGTTTAACTGGAGCAGTAAGATCACAGAGCCACCTTCTGATGGAAGTCGCAAGTGTCAGAAAACCCTTACCACGTGCTAGCTTAAAAGAGGATGGCATTTGTGGTGGTTGGTGATGGCCTCTGTGGCTCGGACAGCACTAGACTTTCTTTTCTTCATGTGTCTGTTCCAAATGCTACAAAAAATCCATCAGAGACTCCTTTTAAAGAAGATAATGCTTCTGCTTGGGAGGTCTCCGAGCTACAAGTTGCTGATGAGTGTACTGGGAAGTATCACTGCGTGCTTGCTCTCATCTTGTTCTCTATAGCATATGCTATTGCCCGTCAGTGGAGGCAAGATTTTGAGCTAAATGAAATCTGGTGGGAATAGCAGTTCATATGTTCACAATTTTCAGAATAAAAAGTTCCATCTTCATTGGTGGAGAGTAGCTGAATGTTGGAAAAAGTTGTTTTGTGGCTTACTGTCATTATACATTTCCAGATCCAGAAATTGGTTAAGGCCAGGTCTACAGTAAAATTCTTTGCTATCAGCCTCTATTGCAATGAAGAAAACAAACTTGAAAAAGCCCGTAGTACGTGCCTACATGGGTAATAAGACTACTGAGAATTCTCATTGTTAATTATATTAAAAAATCAGAGTAATAACTTTTATGTTCTAAGGAGTAAGCTAATTGCTACTATTAGAATCTAGGCAAAAACTATTATGAAGTATCCAGTAATCTCATATTTAATTATCGTTGCCTTCTTGTGCCTTCAGCTCAGCATCTCATTCTGATCACTTCTCGGGGGGAGGATTAGATGGAGTCCCCAACCTGCCCCCTAGTCCAGTGTGTCGCATCTTGCGGCACATCTTAACTCTTCCCTTCTCCCTGGGTCTCTGCAGTCCTGTGCAGCCGCACAGCAGTGTGATTCCCAATCTGCTTCATTTATGGGTTGTTAGAGCGGGGAGCCGGCTGCTTTACAGGCAGTTGTCGTTCTGTAAACTACAGAAGTTACAAGTTGCCCACTGAACGTGATGTGAATAAATTTGAGATTTCTTTCACGTTAGTTATTGTAAAGTTTGGTTTTATGTAAATGGGGTGTTAACTAAGATACAGAAAATTACACTGTACTTCATAGAGGTCAGTAGATGATGTTCTCTGCGTGGTAGGGTCATTCCGTGGTGGTCAGGTCATCCATCCTGATGTAGAGCATTTAGTGGCCTTGGTGAGAAGCAGAGCACTGCAGGAGACATCTCAGACTTCTAAGGCAGCTTCGGTGCCACAGGCAGCCCTGTACCTGACAGTTTTTTTCCAGAAGTCATAGTTTCACCTTGAAGTTAGCTTTTGTTCATTTGTTCTGTACTTCGGAGGTATAGCAACCTTCCTCATGTCTGGTGTGAACTTAATTCTAGCAAATTTATAGCTATTTGTTCTTGTGTTAACATTGCCGCTTTCCGTAACTACTCCTTACTCCTTTGTGCACTTCGAAATAGCTGTCTGCCTTCTGCCAGCATTCATCTTGCTGCACAAGGCAAGACAAAAGAGGGGCTCTCTGGTCTTGGGACTGTCCGTCAGCCCTTCCTTGCACCACCGTCTGACTGAGGTAAACTTTTCTCAGTAGGCACAACCTGAGTAGTAGGTAACCTTTCAAGTGTGTCTTACCAGTGTGTATGACATGTCACTTCTCAAGCCTCTGCTGGAGATAGATACCTCTCCTGTTACCTCCTAGGATTGCATTGGTAATTTATAGTAATTCTGTGATTAACTGTATCTTCCATCTCTGATTCTCTTACAATTTTCAAACAATAAATGTGTGTTTATGGAAGAAATCCTTGTGACTTTGTGTGTTGTATATTGAGCTTTGATTCTCAGTGGTATTTGTAGCTGCTTGTTCAGAAGATGTTAGGTGTGTCAGTGGGTACTGGTGATTTTTGGCATTTGGTCTTAGAATGTTATAATATCGTATTAAAAGGATCAGGTTAGTAATACACAAATATACTTAGAAATCTTCTTTAGGTAAACCATGTCTCTCCAGTGTCTCTAAAACTCTTGATTTCTCGTTCAAAAGATTTCTCTTTAAAGGTTGTAGATCTGCTTTGCTGTGTGGTGATATTTTTATACTGACATTTACCATAGAGGGAAGAATGATGAGATAACTCTGTTTAGCTTTGCTTTTTATTGTTTCTCTGTGCAACTAAATACTGTGGTTGCCTTCTAGCAGAAAGGTGAATGGGTTTTGGTCTCTCTCATGGTGTCTCTTAACTGCCATCTGCCCGTGGGCTGGTGTCCTGCTGTCAGTAAACTGCAAATTCCTGTTCAAAATTTCCCTCTAAGATGGTAGAGAGTTTTAAGTTCTGATTTCAGCAGAAATTTCTACAATCTATGTAATAAGTGTGCTCTATTTTTTTTTTTTCCCATTAGGAGCCAGTGTTACAGTAATAGCTACACTATACTAGTGTTGATGCTACAGTAAGAAATGTAGTTCTAATGGTATTATTTGGAAAGCTACCTTCTTTTCTTGTCATCTTTCTGGTAATGTCGTTTGTTGATGAGCTCCCTAGTGATTTAATTATCATCTTGAGATAAGAAGACAAGGAGAAGGACTAGAATTTAAGGGGTTGTGTTTTTCTTGTAAGATAACCAGTATAGGAGGAATCTGTTATTTCTGATGTGAACTAGTGCATCATTTAGTCAAATCAATTTGCACGCTCTTTGAGTCATCATCCTGTGCTCAAAATTGCATTTCAGAAATACCTGCCTTGCTTCTAGACCTCGACAAATAATGTACTGAAATTTTGTATGCAAAGAGGACTAGATGCACAATGGAGAGACGTATTAACAGTGGGTCGGCTGCTGTTACTCTGTAGGGTAGTAGTTGCTACTTCTAAATCAGAGCTGGATTAAAAAAAAAATACATTTTCTTCTAAAAAAAAAAAAAGCCACCTAATTCTTAGATGATTTGCGTAGTCAGTTGCTTCCAAAACATGGAAGTAATGTTTAGGTTTCTCTGGAACTTGTACTATCAACTCTTCAGAATATGGGAGGAGGGAAGCAAAAGCTGGATTACACCAACCTGATGTAGAATACGTTTAAGAATGTACAACCATAAGTAGAGGAAAGATGGTCAAAAATATTACTGACTTACGGGCAGAGAGGTTTTAGAGCTGGCGTAGCACTCTCCCAAACCGAGAAGCGCACGCAGTATGCAACAGCACGAATCAAGTAATGCAGCCTTTACAGTGACAGGTCTCAAGCATCGTTTTATTTAGTGGATGTCCAGGATGAAATCTGTACTCATGCTGCGGTATGTCACTAGACTGGCATAATGCCTGAAATGTGGTTTCAGGTAAGCAGAGTAACTTTCAATGTTTTAATCTCACTGTGTGCAAATTAAACTGGGAACTACAATTCTTGGACCGTCACGTTTCTGATTATTGTATTTAATTAATTGTAATTAGGGCTCTGGTATTTAATGCCTTAGCTTGTGGAAGAATATGATGCATTTTTACCCAAACAAGTGTCTTCAGCATTATCTGCAGTTAAACTTTTTTTAATATGTAACTTGATATTCAGATGTTGATGCTTGAATAATGTCTTGTTCAAGACCCTTCTTTGAATTTTCTTTAGCTTGATTGTACATTTACAAAGTGTTGAGCTTGCAAGTGAGCTGAACTTGTGCATGATAGTTCCCTTCGTTACAGTAGAGCTTAAAAGCACAGCAGCCATGCGCCCAGTATGTAGAAATATGTCCTGTGCTACAGCTGGAGTTGCATACAGTGATACTTCTGTTGTAACTTCCACTTAAGCTAAGTGTTGCTATTCTCAAATGCTATAACTCTGACAGTGATACAGCACTACTCGTAACGGTCCTGGCAGTTTTTTGCAAAATTATTTTCTGAATCAGCTACAAGCATTTCCATATTAGTAATTTTCTGTACTTTTGTATATTTTGAGCTGAAATGCTCATGCAAGAAAGCAACAAGCACTGTTGTGAATATCACATAATATTTACATTCTACAAGTCTTTAATAACCTTCAGGAACTTTTGTCTTAGGAAATTATTTTCATGCTAGGAACTGGTATTGCTGCTTGAATGTTGTGAATAAATCAGCTGTTTGATCATCTGCTCTTCTAAAAGAAATCAAATGTTGCATTTAATGCTTAGAAACTTACCTAATGTAGCTGAAACCTTTTGTTAAACATTGGGGTCTTTTAACTTTATATGATATTGTCACCTAGTAATATTTTTAAAGTATTTTTGAAAAAGCGCTCTTCCAGAATTATAGGATAGTGCCCTAAGTCTTTGGGATGTTCAGTACGCTTACTTCGTGGCAGCAGTACAGTAAGAATCAGGCGAAGGCGTTGTTGCCAGAGTCTTAAGGCTTTTGTGTTGTTAACAACATTTTATAGTCCTCTGTTTGCAGTGTGCCAAGTTTGTTTGCAGTCTTTAGGCAGATCTGTTCTTGAGTTATAAAATCGCAAGTAGGTGGATTTGCAGTTACGCAATGAAAGTTGTGGGCTCTTTTCTATTTTGGATGAGATACTACTGTATAACGCTTCTAAGACAGTCTAAACAGCAAGACGGGCTTGAAGGTTTCATGCATTCCCCAGTACAGCTGGCAGCGCTCTTTAATGTTCTGGCCTACATCTATTTTTTTAATGTTCTGTTTTACCAGTATGTCTAGACTCTTTTTGCCTTTTAAGGCATGGCATCTAAGGGGGCCTTCAGATTGCAATCTTGGGAACGATGGGATTGCAAGGACATTTTGCACCATTTCCTTTAAACAAAAACAACCCCAAAAAACTTTAATGGATTCCTTAGGACTACTTTAAGTTCTTGATTGTTTTCTCATTAAAATTCCTTTCTTGTTTTAGTATTTGTGGGATGTTTGATGTTTACTCATAATTGGAATTAAATGGGCTTTTAAAGGATACAGACTGATTCTGATAGTCTTAAAATAGAACTTTCACTTTTTAAAATAGCCTAACAGGCTAGTTAAACAGGAGGCTGCGCAGATCAAATACTTCACAAATTTTATAAGTACACCTTTACTTCTTAAAACCAATTAATTTATCCTACTGTTTGTTACAAATTTACAGTACTGTATTTTAATATTGTTTTGCCTAGCCAGGTTTCCAGCACAGGTTGGTCTATGGACGTGAATGGGAACATGAAGCCAGGTCAAAAGTGTTGATTTTTCTCTTCTTTTTTTTTTTTTTTAAGAGCTGAGTAGTGAATTCTTATAAGTGAAGCAACAGCCAGATTTTTTTCACTTTGTTTAAAAATCATACAAACACAATCTCAGTAACTTGCAGTGTTCCAGCAGAGAGCGTGCGTGTATGTACCATAAAGAACATGTGTGTGCAGCCTGAAGACAAAAATAGGGTAACTGTATTCATCCATTTTGTTTAAATAGCAAAGATATGGTAAGTTGTGAGTTGTTAATGGTAAGTATGAGTTCTTACAGCTTGACTTAACAGAAAACACTAGGAAATGGACTGGAGAGGATACTGTACCCTTGCTGGAAGATTGGGGATGGGAAGTTGGACAACATACTGAGAGGTACCTGCTCTCTTGAGCATCCTGCACAGTTGTTATTAACAAACTCATAAATGCTGATACAAAACTAGAGACTTTTAGTGACACTGGCTATTAAATTAGTCTTTGAGACAAACTGGAATTTCCAGTGATTCTTAAGGAAGCCAGGTTGTGTCTTCCCCTGCCTTGGTGACTGAAAGTGAGGGTTACTAAACTTTCTTGAACTCAGCTGTTAAGCTGGAGGGTTTTTTTTTTCCTGTATTCAGTTTTTACTCTGTGTTACTGTTGTAGAGAAGCCTGCATGAGTAGGAATGGCAGCAAATAGGACTAATGGAAAAATATTTTATTCTCCCCCCTCCTGCCCTTCTGCACCCACTACATGCAGCTGGCAACGGCTGAGGAAGATGCAGAGGACTCAGTGTATACAAAATTATATTTAGTGCAGCACTGAAGAAATGTATGATATTTTTCTGACCTATTTTTACCTAGCTTGTCGAAGAACATGATACGCAAATGCTAGTCAAATTGTGATAAAATTAGACTTGAAGAAACTTGGTTGAGTAGTTTTACTGTTTAAGAATTTCCACTTTTCTGTTATGTATGCGATGTAATTGTGGTTTTTACCAGCACTCCAGAGCGCTATTCTGCAGTCTGATGTGGACATACTGCAGTAGCGAGTCTGCAAGAGTTCCCTTTGCTTTGTGGCATGTCCCTCTCTGCTCTTCTGGCGTAGGCGTGGGTATGCCGAGGCTTGTGGAGGTGGCTGTTGAGAGCATTTTACTGTCTGACCTCTGTGGGTTGCAGCTGCCCCTGAGGAACCTGCCGTGTCTTGCACCAGGCAGTATCGTTAGAGAGACTCGCTTGTGATGTCTGGGAATTAGAGAGAGATGGCTATAAAAAGCTATGCTTGCAGATGGCTGTCAAAATGAGTATGAGACAATGGGAAAATAAAGCCTCAAATATCAGGACATGGTGAAAAAGAGGGAAATCCTCCTACCTCCTATAATGTAGTGTTTTATGTCCACTCACTGAAGCTGTTGGCACAATTCAGTGTACTACAGATACAGAATAAGCCTTTCCATTTATGAGTTGTTCACTTCACTGGGTTGCACAGGAATTAAGTGATTAATACAGCAATAAGAATGTGTAACTCGGTATGTTGGGATGTTGTTCATTATTGTCTTCCAGGACCTGTTGTATATGAAAATAATTTGAATTATGGTACACATGAATTGCAGTTTCTGGGGACTGGAGGCACAGGTTCCTGTGAAAAGAAATTGGTGGGAGAAACTGGTTATGTTTTGCAGGTTTTGTTTGCCTTTGGTCAAAGTTTGGCTCTCTGTATCATCTTCAAATGAACGTTCCTATAGGATGGGGTTGCTACAAAACTATTGATGAGCTTTTGTTTATGGGACAGGTGGCATGTTGCATTCTTTCTTTGTCTAATCTGGAAGGAATGTTTGAATCTCATTCAGGTTTCTGTAAAGAAATGTAATATGCCTAAAACAAATATCTCCTTGCAGTGTGCCTTGGATTCGGATTCTGTTCAGTGGTTCTTTTGCTTATCTGCTTGATTGGATAAAACCTGAAATATACCTCACTCAGAGTGATTTGTTTGTTTGCGGCATGTTTTTTTTTGTTAGGAAGATTTTTGTGTTTTGGTTGGGCGCGAGTAGATAAGGCAAACTTGCAGTCAGGTCTGCGAAGTCATGCGAAGTAGGGATAAGCAACTTTTTACAGGTGCCAAAATAACAGTGGGCGAGATGGCGATGGGGCTGAGAGCGGGGGTCGCGAGGTGACTCTTCCAGTGCCAGCGGGGCGCACCCCCTCATGCCAGAAGGCACTGGTGTGAGGGGCTGCTGCCTGAGCCGGGACCCTGCTCTTGCCAGGAGAAAGGGGAGCGGTGGTGGCCACAGCCGTGTCTGAAGCTGCAGCCCCAGGCCACCTGGTGCGGAGCAGTGCGGCATGGGTCTGGTCACTGACACCTCCAGAATGAGCCGCGCGGGAGTAGTGCAAACCAGGGCTTCACAACTGTCTGCATGTTCAGTTATTCCTTTGAATGCTAAGATGGATTTACTTTGAGGTCAGTATAAATGTAACGTGAAAAAAAAAATCTTAAATTATTTAGCAGTAACAGGAAGAACTATGTTTTTTCTTTTAAAAAAAACCCCAAACATAAAATATTTCTGATAATATTCTGATAAGAATGTTTGTTGTACAGGTGTGTCCAAGCAATCAGCAAAACACTGTGCTAATGCATAGTTAGCAGGAAATAAGTCACTACTTCATGTCTGTGGCTTTTTTTTCATTCTAGACTATATGATTATCATAAAGTTCACTTTTAAAATCGATGCATTTCTATTTTAGTCAGTTGAGAATCTCTTCTGTTCACCTTAGTTCAGTCCAGTTAATTACTTTTTTTAGAATAAGTGTTAGTTTTGATATACTTAATGTTTCAGAACAACTGTCATTCTGTTGTTAACTTTGAGTGTTGATTACCCCTGTTCTTAAATATGACCCTTTCTCGTAATACGCCATCAAAATGGTTTTGGCCTCAGAAATGTGTTCTGTATTTAGAATTGGTCTTTTGCCTAAGTTGAGAAAGGGAAGTCAGCAGTAGCTGAATCTTTCAAGGATTATGGAAAACTGCTGGAGGTGGCAAAAGATCAGCTGATTTAATAAAGATTTCACAATACTTAGTGTGCTGAGCCTTGCAATGTTATATCAAAAAGTGAACTAAGAAATGATGAAAACTTACGAATTGCAGCTACATGTAAAACCCTAGCAGTGCCATGAAGATCTGAAATTTAAATATTCTGCTATTGTTTCTATCGTCACCACCAAAGCCAAATCAGAGTTGAATTTGGAGGTCTGGTTGAGTTTCTCTGGATTTGTTCAGTGTTGTATTTTGCACCATTAGAACACAATTTAGTTCATCCAGGGTGCTGAGTCACTGGTGGTATTTAAACTTCCCTCCCTGGTACGTGTCATTTTCCTGAATTTTCTATATTGTAAGAAAAGTTTAATAGTCATTTGTGATTTAAGGCTCCTTGCAGCCCAATTACTAGAGTTAGTAACACGTTTCTCTAAGTCTTAAGGATGCAGACTAGGAACAGGCGGGAAACCAGTCATTCTTCTGCTTAGGGTAAAAGATGGTTTCCTGCTGGAGAAGCAGGACTGTGTTTAAACCATAT